CCCCACTTTCCTATCCCCTTCTTTTTTCCGTGGCTTGCCTGTCTATTTTTTCATCTATTTCCTTCTATTCTTTTTATCCCTCCTTCCCCCCACCCCTATAAGGCACTGCGCCATGTCGCCTGAAGGCAGACAAAAATTAGGTGCCTTTTTCCTCTTCCTTACAACCACTACCACCACCACTTGTTGCAAGCTTCTTCCCCGTAGCATCGGCAGGCATCGGTCGTTGTGCTCGCAGTGTTCTTGCGTTCTGAGTTGGGCCTGTCGCGCGCTGTGGTGCGCGACAGGCCTCACTTTGAACGGCGGAGCACACGGGGGAGCTCAGAACGGCGGAGCTCAAGGATGTGGAGATTGTCGCCGAAGCTAGTGCTCGCAGTGTTCTTGCGTTCTGAGTTAGGCCTGTCGCGCGCTGTGGTGCGCGACAGGCCTCACTTCGAACGGCGGGGCACACGGGGGAGCTCAGAACGGCGGAGCTCAAGGATGTGGAGATTGTCGCCGAAGCTACTGCTGAGCAGCCAAATGAAGACTCTGCCGAGATGGATGCCGCAAGCGCTGATGGTGCCCCGCTCCCGACATCAGCTGAGGTCGTAGCTGCCTTGGCCCTTGCGCGCCGCAGTGGATCCATAAGTGAAGGCACCGGCCTATCACTTATGGATCGCCTGGACTATATTAGGTCCGCAGTCATCAAACACGCCATGGCCAACAAAAAGCAGGCTCCTCTTTTCCAATATTTTAAACCAACACAATAAATACTATGTTTGAATCTTCAAGTGAGTATTTACTGCACCACGCTTGAACGGTTCGTTTGTTGTTTTCAACAAGCTGTTGACGCATTTTTTTCGTAATTTTTTTATATCGAATTCTGGATATATCGAACTATTTCGCGATCGCCGTGCCGTTCGATATATCGAGGTTCGACTGTATAACTGTACGCTAAAACCAGCTGAAATCAATTACAACAGTTAATCTCAGTAGAACAAACCCCACACTAACAACCTTTCAGATTAATTAACTTTTTAATAATCTCCCGCCGACCGCTAATAGTTTCAATGTAAAATTATTTCACTAGTACGTACTTCAGAATACCAAACTTTGAAGAATAACGAGCGTTAATTTAGTTCTGCATTATATCAACAATGCCTCAGTACTACAAACTCATGTTCCGAAATCCGTCACGACCACCAGAGTGGTACTCGAGCAGACGACAGCGCGAACAGACGCCTTCCTTCTCGGAAGATGCGCAATGATGCGGAAGGGAAAAAAAAAAGCGGAAGGGCGACTTTTTTTTTTTTTTGTTGAAATGCTGACGCTGCAGATTTACAAGCACAGAGGCGAGGGCAACACAGCAGGGCAAGGTCAGCGAGGCAGTGTGGGAAAGCAGGAAGCATGGGCGCGGAAAACCTGAGACGGCGAGAGAGCAGAAAACGAAACGCGGGGAATCTTTTTAGAGACCATTTTTTTACTTCGAAAGAGGCGATGACAGCCGTGTCGCTTCGGGTTTTTCTTTCTTTGTCACTTCTCTACATGTACTCTAGGAGGCCTTGTTTGTCAGTCAGTCGTGTTCATCTCTTTTGGATGAGTACTTATCGTGTCCACAAAGCAAGTCAGCGTTTGCGCTGCGGTGCTACTATAAATGAGTTCATGTCTGCTTGCGATGAAGAAGCGGAAGCAGTTTTCGCTAAGCGAGAAAGTGGATATTCTTCAGCAACTGGAAGGCAAAAAGCAGGCTGGACCAAAGAACCGAATCACTGCACAGGAATTCGGATGAGCTGGAGGCCTTCGCGCTGCAAAGTTTGTGCAGCACGCGTCAAAAAAATAAAAAATCACAAAATTATTTAGAGTAAACGTGCATTTTTTGGTGTTCACATGTGCATTGGTTTTTCTCGTGAAAAATGAGTTCAAGGACCTACCGTTGTGAACGTAAGTTGTTTTGGACGGTGGAAAATAAGTATTTATGGTTAATTTTTGGGCTTTCACTATAACAACCTTTCAAAATAACGAACAAATTGCCGCAGCCCCCTGAAGTTCTTTATACCTAGATTTCACTGTACCACTAAAAAAGCACTGGTTGTCCTAAAGGCGATCCAATATTTTAGAAGATCCCTTGAAGGCGCTAAATTCATGCTTTTCACGAATCATCAAGTATGGACTCAACTGTTGAATATGGCACAACCAAAATTACGCATGACTAGGTAGATCAACTACCCGCAACTATTCCAATTCATAGTTCTCCACTGTCCTGGCCCATTTTTCACCGATGCACTGACTAGGTTGCTTGTTCAGTAGTTAAGTAAGGTCTAGAAAATATCAATCGCATGAAGCTATGGGAAGGTACTGAAGTTCTTCAGTTTGAAATATACAATGTACCACCCACTCTGGTTCAAATGATTCTTCATCTTTACGATGAGACTCCTGGATCAGGCAGACATAACGGCTTCTGGCACACATATAAGAAATCACTTGCGAGATTCACATGGCCAGGCATGAAAAATGACACCAGTGATTACATCTGCATTTGTCATATTTGACAGGTGAAGAATGTGAGTTCAAGCAATCAAAAGACATGACAAACTCGGAATATTCAAGAATGCCATTCGAAATTTTTACTTTACAGAGCTCAGAAAGAAGGGGGAAGGAGTCAGGGGAACACAAGCTTTTCTCTTCTCAATTGATGAATGCACAAAGAGGATTAACTCTTTCGTTACCACGCAAAGATGGTTATTTTTCACATGGCTTGGGAAGATCGTTTTTGCAAGTTCGAAAAGTACTCCAGCACGTATTGCAGCATACCAAATTTGTGCAATGATTAGCTATTTCCAAAAGATATAAGTTGTAGAGCAATAAAAATATTTTTGAAATAATAAAAAATGTGAAAGGAGTGATTTTTGATTGTCAGCTGGTAATCAGAGCAATAAAAACACTATATGTGCAAAAACATTCAAAACGAAGAGAATTCAGAATGTACATTTTGAAGAAAAATGGCCCATGATGTTGTACAAAAAGTTTTTATTCCCATAAACACAGGAAATCAGAACCAAGGTGGTGCTTGGTTGCTCGAGCCATGCAGTGTAGCATTGCCTGGTTTTCGTGGGACACAAGTCAACTCGTACAGATTCCTGAGTAAACTTTTGTTGTTTTGGCATAAGAGCCTCTGTGTTTTCCAATATAGATGGATGCACATGACTCAAATAATCCCTCTGTAAGTGGGACGTCTAAATGAATTTCGCTATTTTGTCTTGCGTCACCTCTTTCCATGAACCACCTCCCTTTGCTTAGATTGGCGGTTTTATATATGCATCCAAGCATATTTCTTAGCATTTTGCACATCGTATTAAAAAGAACAATATCGCACGCAGTTCTAAAAGATTTTGTCCTGCTTTGTAGTAAGGGCCAAGATGTGCTTTGGGAACCTTTTTGTCGCTCTGCAGCCAGCGCCAGCACACCACGCCCCTGCGAAGTGTGGACCTCGTACGTAACCAGAGTAGCTATATTTGTTCACAAAGGTCAGTAGCTATGCACAATCGGCAAAGGAGACAACCTGAGGCCGCAAACAAAAGAAACCTATGAATGGTTGTGGATGTATTTGAAGCTGAGGTGCGTACTATTGTCCTCAAACTTTAAGCTTATCCTCACTCAAGTCAGGTGGGGTTGCAAGACAGTTTCAAGCAGCGCATGTGTTTTGCAGCGCTGGTGCACACCCGTGCACGTGTGACAACTACGCCATAGGAGCGACTAGTGACACTATATGCGACTCTGTGTTTGATATAACGAATACAGCGATATACAACGAATATAACGATATTTGGCATGCAAAGGTTCCTTTCATCACAGTACTTCAATGTTACTACGGTATAATAATGAGGAACACTTATTTTTTTTGTCAAGTTCGCCAGCCTAGTGCTCTTTTCCAACAATACATGCACATTAGTTCGCGCAAATGTCTGTCGAAAATCACTATGTTGCCCAAACGGGCAAGTTCAAAATGATTATGAAAGTTGAATGGCTGGACCAACAACTACAAAGTGCTGGCTGCACGAGAAACAAATTTAAAACATGCTAAAATCAACAATCCAAAGCGTCAATCACTGGTGATTGATTTAAATAGGCATGGTAACTAAAGAGTTAAGGCTAAAGCAGGAAAAGAAGATGCCAACAGCACCCTCAGCCTAATTTAAGATGAGTGCTACAGCACACCAAGACTCCAGTCTGCGACAACGGCCCTGCTTTTCTGAGTGCTAAGTTAGTAATAAAGGCCAATGACTGAGGAATACCTACAAAATATTTGCCTCCCTATTACCCTGCAGCCAATGAATTAGCAGAATGGGCTACAAGGGATATAGAGCAATGCCTTAAGTTCCAGATTTTGCAAGTGGCTGAAAGTGGTGCCTTGGGACAACTGTGAAACATCATAATCATACACCATGGGTTTAGGATGAAGTCATTTACCTGCTTCCAGGAAAGTGCATTACTTCTCGCAGATTGTGAGTCTAGAAAATCTAGACTTTACTGAAGTAAAAAAAAAAAAGTATCAAAGAACACGTAACACAAGTGCCGGATGAAGAGAAATTCTTATAAAAGACACAATAGCAAAATACTGCACATACAACCTGGAGAATCCATCTTTGTAAGAAAAAGAGTAGCACCTTCAAGTACTAAATATTACAGACTCTGTGCTCCACTCTAGCATAAGGAGCATTATATCAACTAAACTAGGACATCTACAGTCCTAACATAAGGCATGCAGGACGCTCAGTGTGCAATCAAAGTTGCCACCAATCCTACACTACAGAGCTTTTGAGTGACCCTGAGATCTTACTTTTACAATGCTTGGCAGATCTAAGGTTGCCATGGCAGCCTTGCACAGTAAAGGGCATTAACAAATATTTTACCCTGAGAAACCCGAGAAGACGGGCACGCGAACGCTTGCTTCTTGAAAGCTTCACATAGGGCAGTCTGGGACAACACATAGGGGCCCAATCTAGGCATGGGCGTCCTAGGCATACCTTGTCGAGGAGCCGTGTGCAGTGGCAGGTGAGGCTGTTGAGGAACATCTTGTGTGCCAGTGCAGCAACATCGTCCAGACAGATGGCCAGCGCTGTGCCCGAGCCCAGGGTGTTCGAGTAGAAACGCACCACCGAACGCAGCCGACACAGAACCAGTGGGCTGCTCTCTGCAACGGCTAGCTGCTCGAGGCGCAGGCGCAGCGGGGAGCACAGGCCTGCCAAGATGTGGTCCAGGGCCGCTTCTCCACTGCCACCACTGTGATGAAAAGAGGGCAAGGCAACAGAGGTTTCCATCGTAAGCTTGAACAGAAGAAGAGCAAATCAAAGCATGTCATCAGGCTAACTGATATACTGTAGAAAATAAAACATCGCTTGTAATTTTTTTTTTTCCCTTTAGCTCATCACTCGCTGTTCGTTCAACGTAAAGAACAACTTAGCTCTGCTGCTGGCCAAATGACAGACACACAGAAAGGCTCTTTATAGAACATATTTTTACATGGGTACCCTGTGGCAGTCACATTTTATGTGGCACATTTACTAATGCCATACCAGTAAAACCACTTGAGCTACACTCATAGTAGAATGATAGCATTTTGTGGCTCGTGGAAACCAAGCCCCTACCTCTGCATTACATGAACAATGTTGTTGCAATGGCTACGAGTAATACTGGCTAACACTCACAAGGTCTATGTCAATACTCATTGCATACGTGAATATTTAACAATGTAGAATTGAGTGAGAGGCACACCATATGGGGAAATGCATTATGGCATTTTGCGCTCATCGAATTGCAGACACAGTGCCACAAATACAATGTATGCTCATTTTCTGAATGAATCGGCATTGCGTACGCATTTAGCGGACTTGTTTGTAGAAGATAAGCTTCACCTGTCTAGCCAAGAGTCTAGCACACACTGCTGGTAATCACATTATTGTGTTCATTTCACCAGAAACTTGAAGATGAAATAATTTCAAATTAAGTATTTTGCTGCGTGCACATGAGCAATCCTAATGCAATTTACCCAGAAATGATAAGGCTTTGATTAGGTTGCTATACTAATACCTAGAGCCCAAGCTTTCAAAACATGCATTTTAATTTGCCGTCATTTACACCCTTTCTTTTATCAGCATACACACTAGTTGCCAATTTCCCCCAACTAGTGCCAGCGAGACAGTATCATCCCACATGCCGTCTCGTTTAACCAGGGTTCAGAGTTGTTACTTTTCTATAATACATCCAGCCTGCATTACTACTTACATGAAAGCAGAATTCTACCATATTCAGTTTGAATATTAACGAAAGCTTGCTAGTGTCTTCAGTCACAAGCAATAACAGTATTATTTTTGGGATTTAATGTCCCAAACCATGATATAAATAAAAGGACAATGTAGTGGAGAGCCCCAAAAATTTCAACCATTTGTAATACTTTCACACACACACCTAAATCTCAAGAATTTTTGCCTACATTAAGAATGCAGCCGCCGTGGCTGGGATTTGATCCTGCAACTTTCAGGTCAGCGGTCAAGAACCGTAACCACCAGAACCCTGCAGCGGGTTCCAGAGACAAGCCTGCCTTTTGGGTAATGTTTGCAATGCAAACGTAATGAGTGCATGCTGGTTAGTGATGACGTACACCGAGGACACCACAACACAAACAGGCGCTTTGTACTTACAACTGTCAGTGCAAGTACCACTAGTCAGAGACAAATGTTATCATATTTAAATGAATGATTGATATATGGGGTTTAACATCCCAAAACCACCATATGATTATGAGAGACGCCGTGGTGGAGAGCTCCGGAAATTTCCACTACCTGGGGTTCTTCAACGTGCACCCAAATCTGAGCACACAGGCCTACAACATTTTCGCCTCCATCGAAAATGCAGCCGCCAGGTCAGCAGCGAGCACCTTAACCCCTAGACCACCACGGCGGGGCTTATCTTATCTAAAGAGGATACCTTATGTCCTTTCCAAGGCAGCCTCAGTCAATAGGCAGGCACATCACTTTTTACAGCCCCCAAATGTTGACTACATGAGTATTGATGATCTAGAGCTCATTAACTGAACCCTGCACTTTAATCATAATTTATTACCACAACAAACTAATTGGTCAGACTGATTGAAAAATACCAAACAGCCATAAAAAAATCTATTTTAGCCTTTCCTTAAAATGGTGGTCGGGCCTTTTTGTATTTCAACTGGGCATAAAGCTAACCAGGTAAACACGGAATATCTCAACAGAAGTAGAGTAAAACCTCATTAATTCGAAGACACTGGGGCCACAAGAAATCTTCGAATTAAGCGGGTTTTCGAATTAACAGAACATACAAGTGTGGCAGCAGCAAGCACAGGACCGGGTTAACTGGCGGAACATGGGAGAGGCCTTTGTCCTGCAGTGGACGTAGTCAGGCTGATGATGATGATGACAAAGTGTGGAATGCAAGCAACTTGAAAATATTCAAATTGATCAGGGCTGGTCTTTGCTGTGCCAGTTAGTTTGTGGCTTCAAAGGTTATGTTTTCCAGCAATACCTGGTCACAGTTCTGCTGCAAACAAAGGGGAATTCCGGGCTTAACTGCTGTCACGGCAAAAAAAAAAAAAAAAAAAACGTGATCAACTGAAATGCGCACCTGCAAAGAACAAAACATCTTCACTGCAACACAGCAGTGACCCGCGAGAAGCAAGTCACCTGCTCCTTGCTGCGTCAGCACGTCACAATGCGACCATTCGCCGATTCTTTATCGTAAAATAAAGGATTGAATAATGGACAGTGTGAGAAAATTCGCTATGTGTTATGGCTGGAAAACATCACCATTGAAGCTTTCGACCCGACTTATCAAAATAGGCGTAGCAGGCAAGGACTCCACCAGCTGTGCAAGTGCACGAATTGCTGGAGCAAACGGCACTCAGAGGTTTGCATACATCGCGGATTTCTCCAGACTGTCCTGTAATAATTTCTCAGAATTCACAGAAAGGAGGGATAAACTGTGACGCGCTGACGTAGCGAGAAGCATGCGAGATGCTGCTCGCACGTCACTGCTGTATTGCAGTGAGGCAGGGGTCTTGTTTTCCACAGGCGCATATTTCAGTTGATCACAAGAACGGTTTATATATATATATATATATATATATATATATATATATATATATATATATATATATATATACATATATAATTTTATCTTTCGTGTTGAAAGTAGCTAGGCAGGGGTGCTTCAGCTACCACCCATCAACATAGCTATAGTACATTGCCTAGTGGCTCTGAAGGGCTGTCGTTTCCACGGATCTGCCGCGGGATTGGGATCGGGTATCGACACACTGCACCCAAAGTTTTCTAATTAACTGGACTTGTGCTGACCGCCGCTTCATATTATGCACTCAAACTTACATTGCAAAATACGGGACCGTGGAAATAACTTAAATTAAGCAGGAATTTAAATTAACTGAGGTCGAATTATCGAGGTGTTACTATAGTTACGATGCAGCATGAACAAGCAGTGCCTGCAAATGAAACAAAAAATGAAAAAATCACCCTGCCCTAGAGCATATCTAGAAGACGAGGTGTGCCTCAGACCCAGATTTCATTCGATGAGCTTATTCTATTAAAATGGATCACTCTGTCTGGAACCAGTACAGGTTTGTTAGCCTATATATTTGTTGTGATGGGCACAAGTAGCTCGGCAGATGGCCAAATAGACAGAAAGATGAATAATTTAGGTATGTAATGCTGACCCTTCAATAGGCCAGGAAGATTCATACACAAGTCTCACAATATAAATAATTTATTAATTTGTGTGATTCTACAGTAACAATAAACTTTTTTTTGCATAACTGAGCACAGTTATATTTTCAACAGCAAAGCTGCTGAAGCTCTTTGTAATTTGCGCTGTGTCACCAGAGATCTTCTCAATTGAGTATGTACCACAGAAATTAGGCAAACGCCCCTTATCGTGCACAACAGGTGCTAGCACAAAATGAAAATGAACACATGAAAAGGAGAGAGAAGGAAAGTGATAAAAAGAAGGAGGAAGAAAAATACAGAGAGAAATAAAAGGAATAAAGAAATAAAAAATAGAGCTATGGAAATCGAAAAACTTTGAGTACGAAGCAAATCAAATAATTTTCATACCATTTCTAGGATAGATATTTACTCGCATAATGAACGCACTTTTTTTTTCTTGAAAAATTGGAGCAAAGTTATGGGTGCGTTTATTATGAGGGGGCAAATTTTATGAAACATTTTTTGAGAGCAGCAAAAAATATGGTAAAGCAAAAAAGGAGTTAGGTTGCTCAGCCTTTCACAATTGACATACGCGCACGCTGTTTGGAAACAGCTTCTTTGTTAAACTTCACTCATCTTCGGTGGTTGAAAATGCAATCTTCTGCAAGCTTGCCCTGCACCGCCCATGCACTGCATAAAAGCATTTCACGGCTTTATTTTCTGGCAATCATTTAACCGCAACAGTGGTATCTGCTATGATCTCAAGCAGAGCCCTTAAGTGTGCGCTACAACGCACTTTGCCAACTTCATGGCAACCTTGCATGACGATTCCATTAACATTGCACCATGGTACCCCCAAAGCATCAAAACAAACCGTCGATAACAAGATTAACAACAAAATAGAGCTGCCGTCTCGCTGTTCCCATAAGAAGTTACTGATAAAAAAGGTAGCCTACATCTTGCGTTCCATGAAGTACACGCAGATACCAAGAATGAAGAGCAAATTGCATCCGAAGCGAGAATCAGGGGTGCTACCATCGATTCTCACTTCGCGGAAATCGTCATGATCTTTTCTGGGCAACAAGAAATTTTGCTTGGTATTCCCGAAACCTGGGACGTGATGGCGATGAATGGCCCTTCACAACAGCCATGGCAACAGCAAACCCTGTAATCGTTGCCCGAAAATCACGGGCACCTGGGTGGGTCTTTCGTATTTGCAAAAAGCAATGGTCAGTTGGCGCGGACAGTTTCGTGACCTTCGCTCACTGTCTACTTATCAGCTGCGATGTCTCGACACTTGCACCATTCGTGAGCCCCGCTGCGGCGCATGGATAATAAAAAAAAAAAAATGTGGCATGCCACTCGCAGATAGAAAGAACAACAGTACAGCGAGCCCCAGTGGCCGAAGGGGAGTGGCATATTAATAAAAAAAAACAGAAGAGATCCAACGGGCAAAAAGTCACTAGGTGTCGATTAGCGAGACTGCAGCGAACGAATGTGGGGGGTGCGTTTAATACGCGGGAAAAAAAAATGTAGATTTTGGCGACTGAAGTTGCGGGTGAGTTTATTATGCGAGTGCGTTCATCACCTGAGTAAATACGGTATTTTTCGAATATTTCTTGAATATTTTTTCTAGAACATCAGAGCCAAATTACTGGAAAAGGTTGCAGAGGATCCCTAAGCATATTGTTATGAGGTAGGAACGTGAAAGTGTCTCCTTTGGTTGATGATGCACTCGAGGGGTGCTCTTAAGTCTGGCTTCCCGGGATGTCTTATAAAGAATGAGAAAATTCAAATGCTGAATGGCGTTCATTTAAGTCACTCGGTGTAACAAAAGTTGTGTCCGCAACGCCTTACACATTGGCGCTGGCGTCAGTGCTGGTGGAAGAGGCCACTTGCTTTTTGAGTATGACTTTTGCAGATGCCAGACGAGTGCAAAGCGTTTTAGAAAAGTGTAAACACAATTCGAAAAATGTTCTAAAATTGAATATTTCCACAGCCGCAATAAAGAGACCGAAAAACAGAGAGACAAAATGAGAGAGACACAAAGACGTAGAAAGAAACGGACATGAAAAAGAGAAGAGCAAGACAAAAAGAGAAAGAGATACAGAGAGAGAGAAATAAAGATAGAAAGAGTGGGAAAGACAAAGAAATAGAGAGAAAAAAAGAAGACAAACCAAAGAAGGCCACCCAGAAGCGCTGTTCCTTCATGCTTGGCACCACAAGTGCAAAGCTGCAATAATTTTTTTTTTATGCAAGTCACTTCTTTTTTATTTCATGAACACCTTAAGCCACGACAAGTCACAGTCGACTCCTAAAGGGACACTAATGTGAGACAATGAATCGGTATAGATGGATAAATTGTACAGTCATTAATTTCCCCATCAGATGTCAATTAATACACGAGAAAAACAAGGTGAAAGTGTCAGTTTTAAGTTGTGTGCCAAAATATCCGTGCATGACATCCCCGATTTCAAAATGCATTTTATGTATTTTGGCGACATTGACTCAATGAAATTTCCCTTAACACAGTGTGTGAAGTCTAAGACCCTCTCGGAGGACAATTTACTACATTTTTACCAATTGCAAACTACGTATGACCTAGTAGAAGCCATTAATATCTACGACGTCATTGCATTTGGTGCTGTAACTTCAACGTGGTGTAACCATCCACGTTTTGTTTTTGCACGTCTCTTTGCTTTTCAAGCGTCTTCTAGCAGTAAATGTGGTGTTTTCAGCATTGTGAAATTTCAAGTTACTAATAAGCCAAAAATCGCTTTTTTCTGTGCTATCCCTTTACATTGAGTGCTTCTCTCACCTTCCACGCAGCCCACCACATTGTGCGAGCAGCTGCTCCAAAAGCTCACGCTCAGACGCGGCACACTGGTGTGCCCAGGCTAGCATGTCTCCAGCGTAGCGGAGCGGGTCCTTTGCCAGGGACTCGAGAGGCCTCGAGCCTCCAGTGCCACCCACACCACCAGTGCCACGAGTCAGGGCATCAATGAGGTGCCGCACCACACAGGCACGCCGTGCATTGGCATACTCGTCAAGGGCATAGCCCCAAAGCAGGGGGCGCTCGCGCAATGCCCCAAAGGCACGAGCCAACAGGGGACCTGGCTCGGAAGCAGCATCGGAGCCGAGAACTCGGCACCTGTTCTGAAGCCAGCGATAGAGGCGTTCATAGGCTGCCTCTTGCTGCAATGAGCGAAAGACCAAGTTCAGCACATCGCACACTATCAATTCCTGGTCAAGAAAGTAAATTTTAAAAATAAAAGCGGTTGTTTTAAAGAACATTTATGTAACCTTGAGCTGGAAAATTGGTTACGCATATAACAGCTCTGAATCAGTCTGCAATAAAAACACTGCCAAAAGAATTTCAAAAATGATGAAATAGCAAAGGTGCAACAACCTGACAATCCAACTATGTCGATGCTGTCCTTTTTTGGTCACCACCATTACTCTTACCACCACCATGAAGTTTAAGCGATGGGTTGCATCAGGCAACCAAAGGACAGACTAATCATAGTGGACGATTGGGCCAGTTGGTGATTCATGATCTATGAACACTGAACAATTGAGAACATAGATGACAAGCAGACAAGGACAGACTCTTTCATTGTCCACCCTGCCCATTGTTATCTCCACCAAAATGTAAGCGTCATGGAAGATTCACAACATTGGAGTTCTTGTGCTCTGTCAACCGATAAATCTACAGCTCCTATACTGGTCATGCCACAAACATGACACTGCCAGTATTGCGATGGTGGATTAGAAAAGCCCAGAGTGGAGCGCGAGAACATTTCGGAATTCTGTAGCTCTACCAAATATAAGGTAGCATGCACAGTTAATGTACTACAATACAGAACAGTTTGCTATCCTTCTTCAGCACTATTGCTAGCCATGCTCACCTGTGCGGCAAGTGACTCCATGAGTTGTAGCCCAGCCTGCGCTCGACTGCTTCGCAGCAGTAGCTTGCAGTGGTCGTGCATGCGCCTGCTCTGAGCCAGTGCGTCTAGGAATCGCTCATCCAGTAGGTCCCTTCCAATGGGACCTCCTGTGCCTCGGAGGAGGGTCGCTTGTTCGGAAGAGGGCTGAAATGCAGCTAAGAAGCCCTGTGCTGCCTGTTGCCGTCCTTCCAGGCGTCGTGCCTCCGCTCGTAACTGGCCCGTACGCGCAAGAAGTTCACGTGTGTCCCGTTTCACAGAGTGCAGGCGCTCTACCATGCCTGCGCACCCGTCAGCCATCGATGCAATCTCCTCAGACAGCACACTCATAGATGCCTGCAAGAGTATAAAAATAAGTCCTCATTTCAGATGCGATAATTCATTGAGAGTCAGCCAAACTTTCTTGCTCCCACTAAAACTAAAGGCCAGCTTGTCATAGGGAACCAAAGCTTAAGTTTGTAGAACGACCACAATGCCACACCTGACTCTGGCGGCACCATCCGGGGAAATTAAAAATAGGCACTGCAGAGTGCGCAGGCAATTCCGTGTGTTTCACCGAAGTGGGAGCGCATGCAGCACGTGCAGAACCAGTTTCTGCAGTCAGTGCGAAGGACTTCTGCGCCATGTCGTCAGCTTGGCATGCTCGCTGAGAAAAGTTGCCTTTTCACGATGGCAGTAGCAACCGCACGAAAGCGTCGGTGAGGTCCAAAGTATTGCTGTATCGTGGGCTGCCATGTAGACAAAGCCATGAGACGCTCTCCACGTGCAAAGCTGTATCGGTTCCCCGGGAAGGCATGCTGGGGGAACTGAATACTGAGCCGGGTCCATGAAAGATCAAGCAGGCATGACACGAGAGCTGGAAAAAATTAGGCGAGCACTTCAACTTGACTCGCAGTGGTTAAACCTCAGCTTGCTACCTTGCGGTGAAGTCAGTGGGTCATGCTCCTGCGGCACGGAGGACATGACCGTACAAGTTTAGTTTTTATTCATTTTTTTTGCCTGCCACGAATGTTTGCACATGACAGTACACGGCTGCTACTGCTAAACAACGTATCAAAACTACAAATTATGCAATTTTTCATAAAACGCCAGCACAGCCTATCGCTAGAGTACACAGCTTCATGTTGACAGAATGAGACTTACTTCGAGGCATATGTCGTACACGGTATTGTCACTGACCTGAGAAATGCATTTCGCAGTGACTTGGGCTTCCTCGTCTTCTATCGTCTGCTCCACATCATAAACGGCACTAGCGAGCTTTACTTCTTTTGTTAAATCCGCCTTTCAGAAGTGCTTGTCCAGCTCTGAGATCTTTATGAGGTCGCATTGCAGGCGGTTCACTGTGAGGTGAGTCACATGCTCATGCACCGCGCGCGCTCTGCATGAGCATGTGAGCAGCAGCGCTTGGTGGAAGGAAAAAACGCCTGGTATACATCCCCAATTTCTACATTTTACCAGAGATGGTGCTGCCGGTCCAGAGTCACAGCACTACCATGCGTTGCTTTGGCTCCCTATGGCATACCAAAGAAAGAAAGTAAAAACGTTCCTTAAGCCACTCCTTCTCATTCCTTGAGTTTCGTGCATTATTTCTAGTTTGAGAACCACTGGAAGTTAAAAAGAGTGTCACGAAATTCGTATACCTATTTTCATATGCTCTTATCAATACTTTTTCATGGCCTCAATGTACCAGTAGAAACTTAAGTGTGCAGAGACACAATGTACTATTGATGTTACACTAGCACAAGTAAACACTGTAAACACTGCAAAAATAAAAACAGGCCTTCTTAGTTGTAATACACAGTTTGCAGGTGCCTAGCATAATAACAAGTTTCCAGATTTTATGTCCAAAAGCCATATGTTTATGGGGGAGAGCCGCTCTGGAGAGGTCAGAAAATTTCGACCACCTGGTGTTATTTCATTTCATTACCTTAAAGACCCTGTTCACAGGTATTACATAAGGGGTGGTTAACATATTAGTACAATAAAAGCAGGTGTTATAATGTGATACATGTTGGCAACGTGACCAAAAATTTGGTAAGACTTCTTATGTCGGCAGCGTGTGGAGGCAGGTCATTCCAGTCTTTGGCAGCTCGAGGAAAAAATGAGGCTTGAAATGTTACTGTTCATGGACAGGTTACTTGCAGTTGATGGCTGCAATGCACCCAAATCTAAGCACATGGGCCACTATCAAAATATGGGCACAGTGGCTGGGATTTGATCTCATGACTTTCGAGTCATCAGTTAAGCACCATAACTACTAGATCACTGTGGCGGGTACCCAGCTGAAGAGCCTTTATTATGCACGCAAGGTTCAGCATTGCTGCGTAACTGAGTACAATAATTATTAAAAGTGAACTATACTTCCCTGGCCACCCCAAGTTGTCTAAAGCCTCGATATCCTTTGTCGTGGCCTATAAAAAAACTTTTCTCTGCCTAGTGCAGGCCACTCATACTTCTCAATTTCAAGCTATCTGAAGTTTTGTAAGTTATAAGAACACGTGACTGATGCTGTTTGCATTGTATGGGATCTTGAACACTTTGTTGTGCTCTAGGGCCCCTTCAATTCAAATGTCTTGTGTGCACGAGGAGACCTGGAAGCCACTGCTTTTCACTTGTGGCTTCTGCATACTGATAGTTTTGTAAATTGACAAATGAACTATGAGGCTACTCCATTACTTTCGCACACCACACAAATATCCCGAAGGCATGCCTCAATATGCTACAAGAATCGGCCAGCATTTAGCATACAGAATTCAAACGTGTACGGCACCACGCTTTTAGCATTTCCACAGTTAAATTCAAACAGCTTTTGTGTGTTCATGTACGTGGATGGTTCAACCCATTTCTGTCTCTGCTTCTGTGTCCTCAGAATGCAAACGCTTTTGTTATTGTAATTGGTTTTGGTTTGTCGGAGTAAGGTAGTTAATCGATCACTTATAGTGCGTAACGTGCGCATAAATTGGCATCCGTACGGTCAGGTTCACACTTGTGTAGGGTCGTCGGGCGGCCGGCTGCGGGCACTGTCACCGCCTCGCGCTAACTGCAAGGTGCCACAACCTATATATGACTTCCAAATGAGAGTAGCATATACAGTAACTTTAGGCACCCATTATGTTTGTGGCGGCATATTTTTTCAATACACGGCGATCTACTCGGCCGATGGCCACGGCCAGTGTAAGAGTGGTTCAGACTGAACGCGCCAAATGCACGTAGCAAGAGCAGGAGCACGAAGAAACAGGCGGAAGGTATCACAACACTAGCAGCGCCTATCACGTCGCGTCTTTTCGTGCGTCAATGCATTAAGTCCGGGTGAGTTACTTGTAGTACGTGATGACGTCGAAGTTTGGGGAACCGTGGTGACAGAAAAATAATGAATTTGCATAAAACGCGTACCTTAAGGTCACTGAATGACTGGACGAATTCCTCGTTGATGGCCAGGCTCCTCTTCTCGAGGTCGCCTCGCAGGCGTCGGCGTGTGCGAATGTTGTTCTCTGTGAAGAACTCGGACAGGGACCGTAGGGCCTCCAAAGTCTCCCGGTCATTCTCTAGCCGAGCCTCGAGGAGTTTGTTTAGCTTGCGACTAAGGGGGTTGTTGGTCGAGCTCTTATCGCCGCCACCAGCAGCTTCCACGTCCTCGGGAATTTGTTCGACGGCCATAGTGCCTTCTTTACGCAGAGCACTTAGCTCGCTCGCGATCAACGATCGCTTAGCGTTTCCTTTGTCGCCACAGATGAAAGACAAGGTAAAAAAAAATACGCCCTTGCTTTTTCTGCAGTACCATGCCACGTAAGCTAAACAACGTCCGCGACACAGAGCACAACCACAGAACACCTTTGGAACAACAACTTCGCGCAGCTGCTGGCTTTGCCGTGAAAACAGGGTTACCAGATGGTGCGAGCCTCAAACCGCCAAATTGGACTCCGAGGTAGCCCAAACATAGCCAAACGCGAAAATTTGAAGTAGCTCAAAAATAGCCAAAATCAGCAAATGTATGCGTGAATACGTCGTATTGCGTAATATTTTTTTTTGCTATTCAATCCACAATGATTGAGCAATGGCTGCAGAATCTAGACAAAAGTTTATTGTCACTTAATAACAAACAAATGAATGGAATCACAAAGAAATATAGAAGCATATTTACAAAAAGTAAAAATAGGTAGGGTTTACAAAAAAGTAGATATATACAAAAACTCATGAAATAGAAAATACAACAAAAGAGATGAAAGTGGAGAAGCGAAATAACTTAAACATGATAACTTAAACACTTGATTTGGATGCCGAGGCACTGCTCGGCCCATACAAAACGGTGGAGTTAAAACGCGACAAAAATTCTCTTCCCGGTTTGAAATCTTTGCAGCAGCCAGCGTTCCTCCCCAGACCAAATTTTACATGGAGCAGCGCTTCTAAGGTCTCGTTAGGCATCCTGTTTCGAATGTCAGTTTTAGTAAGCGAGACCTGGCTGAACACTCGTTCAACAGCAGCGTTTGACACTGGTAGTGACAGCAAAGAGAGCGCCAGCTTTGACATCAGTGGAAACATCGAGTTCCCGGCAACATTTTTTGCATTGTGTACGGTTACCCAGAATTCGGTTATGGAGTGGGTACCCTCTGCCAGATCGTCGACTCTGGTTTGGAGTAGGTGATACTCAGATTCCATTGTTGAAATACAACTTGGCTCTACAAAAGCATTGAATGAACGATGCACGAAATCGAAAGAGTATTTCTTAATGCTCTTTGGCTCGAGAAGCTTGAGGTCACTGAGAAGCTTCATGTTCGCGGGAAGCCGCTTGAGCACACTCCGTATAGATGCTATCACAAACTTGCGGCACCTTTCCAACAAACAAACTTTTTCACCTTCGCTGAGTGAAGACTTCTCAAAACTGTCGAGAAAAATAACGCCCAAGCTGCATGCCCTCACATGCAATATGTGCTGCTCCCACTCCGCATTGTCAGGTTCTGCATATAGCCAGGCATAACAACTCTTGTCATTAAAGCTTTAACAAAAGAAATCAATTCTTCATTGAGTCTCACAGGGTCCGGGGCCTCGCACTGAAAGAGCTTATTCATTCGCTCGAATTCATCGATTATTGGGCTTAGAAAACGGAGAAAAAGTAAATTTTGCTCATCAGCGTACATTTCGCTGAGTAATCTTGCTGCGTAGCAGCGTTCCTTACTTTTCATCGCATCAAAGTGAGATCGCAGGGCAGCCCACTGATTCAAGACTGATCTCAAGGCAGGCGCAATGCTAAGCCATCTCGTGGCACAAACGCCTATGAGCTTATTCGGGACATCGCCCGAAGTAATGGCGGCGTATGTTACTCTATATTCTTGCTGCCTTTTCGGTGAATGGGCGAACCAGTTGAAGGTTTCGCGTACTAGGTAGTCAATGTGCGTGGGAAGTACATCTATTGCCTCACTACAGGCAAGCTGTAAAGAATGGCACACACACTTCACAAGAACAAGCCGCGCATTTTCTGCCTTCATTTTTGTGTAAAGGCTGTTGTGCTGCCCACAGATGACGCTCGCTCCATCTGTCCCGATACCCACACAACATTTGATGTTCAGTTTGCAAGCATCTAACAGCGCCTTCAACTCAGAAAATAGCCCTTCCGCGGATGCATCGGTCACTGGCACCAAGCCGAGAAAGGCTGTAAGAAAATCCCTTTTGCTGCGAGAAAAAAAGCGCGCCACGACGGCTAGCTCCTTCGTGCACGAGACGTCCGTGCTCTCATCCACAATCAATGAATATTGTGCAGCAGTCATGTCCTTCAAGAGCTCTTCTCTAAATGTTGGCCCCAGTACCTTCGTTCTCCCCAAGGTGACGGCCGACGCCAACACCGAATCGCTGAAGCACCCACTGATCACGGGCGTCAAGTGGTCCGCCGTCAGGAAGCTTCCGTGAACAGCCAAATGAGCAGCCAAGCGCAGCTCTGCTACCTTGAGGTCGTCAGAAGAACTGGAACATGGCTCCCTGGGTCTTCTGTCCACAAACGATGCCAGAGGCCCCGCTGCTGGACCAGCGGAACGCTTCATGTTGTTTGCATGCTTGACCCTAGTGGAGTGCAGCTTTAGGTCTTGAACGTGGGGCCGCAATTCCACCTTGCATGCTCGGCAATAGGCCATATCGCCTGAATTGGATGGCGATAGCCAGTCTGCACGTTCAGAAACAAACAAAAAATAGTACTGTACTCACTGCACATATGCATATGCCTCAAATTTCAATTTTGCGTATGAATGGAAATTTTTTTTTTAACAGGGCATTAAATTACATACAAAAGCATTCTGACACAATTTGTGCCGAGGATAGAAAATATATTTCCTTTGAAGTCCGGCTCCTTCTCCCATTCCTTTTTGTAGTTGCGTGCGTACTTGGCCCACTTGCCCATCCTGGAGCTTGTCTCTTCAAGCTCAGAGCCTCAGACCCGAGACGCACTGCTAGCATTCGGCAAGAAGCGCGAATTTATACCTCCAAATACAATGATCGAAGAGTGATCAGACGTGTAACGACACGAAGAGCTGTAGTCAACGAGCCCCGCATTCAGTGGTGTATCCAAGAAAGCGGGGGGGGGGGGGGGAGGCCGTTCGCCCCCTCAGAGCCTCAGACCCGAAGCGCAATGAAATTTAAGTGGACGAAATGACAAACTGCTACCGGCAGGGTCACTGAACCTGCTACCTTCGGATGGGTGCTCCCCACGTGTCATAGCTTTCACAATCATGTACCCCCTTCCCCTTTTCGGGAGACTTGAAAATATGCGCCAATGACTGACCAAGCGCCACCCCCCCCCCCCCCCCACTCGACGTTTTTTTTTTTTAAAATCTGTTCTCCGCCTCATAATCCTGCAGCAGCGGTTCCTGCGAGTCTTGTGCACGATTTCTTAGTACTTGTACAGTGTGATGTCTGAGGGTCACATTCCGGGTTGTCGCAAATTGTTGGGGTATTTGAAGAACGTCTTTCCACTCCTGTCATAACACGTGCAATGTCAGACGGACACCCTCCGATTCAGTAAAAACTGTAAATGCTCGCGTATTCAACAAAGCATTTCATAAGAAGCACAGGTGTGCATTCTACTTAGAGGCATTTCCTCTGCTAACTTGGATTTTGGTCTCGGACTGAGCAAGAGGGCCCCCTCCACATCTTTCTTATTATCTTTCACTGTGTGGTGCGGGGAAGGGGATGGGGTGCTTGCTCGACATTTTACGGTAGTAGAAGTCAAGAAAGTCTAGAGAAAACGTAGCCATCAACACAGTTTCAAACTGAAGACCCGTGAAGCCCTTTCTTGGGCTACGTACTCCAGGTGCAGGGATCGTTCAACACATTGGAATGTTTTGATGGCGGGATACGCATGTAAGCCTTGGCGTTCTTTGTATAGAGCTTTTTAACAGAGAGAACCATCACCACCTTTCTTAGCTTTTGCACGGGAGTACAAAAGCTGACGTCGCGCCACGGTACTGCATTTTTGGGGGGTCACGCATGTGAACAGCCAAAAGGGGCTTATGGCGGCGGCCAGGGGGCCGTCGTTGACAAGGTGCATTAGAGTTCCTAGAGAGTTTTAGTGCCGGGGACCCGCAGACGCTCGCGTACGCATGCTCCTGCTTTCCTTTGTATTCTCCGTGGTTGCAGCTGCTGGGGGTTCCCGGCGGCTGGAGGTACAAACGAACGCAAGAGCGTGCGTGCGTAAGCTGTTTGGGGTCCCCGATACTAAAATTATCTACAGTTTGTAGCTTTTTGGAATTTTTGCCTAGTCGAGAGCAATGTAGCCCAAAAATAGCCACATAGCCAAACAGAAAAATTCTACGCCAACTCGAACAAAAAGTAGCCCAATTTGGCTATTAATAGCCCAATCTGGTAACCCTGCGTGAAAATAGCTATTGCCAGAACAACGCCTCCTCTAGGAAGATGCCTGCCGCATGAGCAGAAAAACAGCGACCACACCCTTTCTCTCTTTCAAGTTAAAATGTTCTTGGTCGCTAGCGTCACCTGTGTCGGACGGTGCAACAACGCAACAATTTGCATAGCCTCCGAAACAGTAATGCACAGTTGCAGGTCTCGAACAACTCTCGACTGACGCGTCCCTATGGGCCGTAGATGAAAAACGCTTAGCTAATACCACCCGTCGCCGTGATGATATTGTCGGTCGCGAGCGATACCGTGCGGAGCTTGTTTAAAACTGAAGGCAGGCCAACTCCGCTGGGAGAGCGAGCCATTCCTCAGGCATCTATTTAGAGGAGGCGTTGGCCAGACTAATCGTTTATTTTCACCACGGAGGAAACCTTTCTTTTCTCCGTGATTTTCACAGTTTTTTTGGATGGATGAATGGATTGATGTGGCTGTACCCACTTTTTCTTTCCTCCGTGGGCTGTACCCTTTAAATTAGGCGGTGGCTGCTGCCACCTAGCCGTAATACTTGGTGAACCACAATTTAGACTTATCTTTTCTTTTCTTCAAATAGTGAAGTATATCAACGTTACTAGATACTTTTCCAGTTGTCAAACTTCGCCGCGGCGCGTGACGTTTTTCTATTGAGCGCCGCGTGGGGGCGCGCGCGACACGATTGGCCCGGTTCGGTGAGAGGTGCAACCGCGAAGGAACCGGCCTGCGAGCGCAGAAGGCGACCGCATCGTTCTGCTCGAGTTGTTGTGCGCGTTTGCTTTTGTTTCCCGTGTATAGACGTAAAATGTCGATGACTGCTGTGACTGTGTAGTGAGAAGCAATGCCCCGTTGCTTTGTGACCAGCTGCAAAAGCGGCTACGACTCTGCGAAGAGCGCAGCTGAGAAGAGACACTTTTTCAAACCGCCCAACGAAACTTCGAGGCTTCAATAATGGCAACACGCGATCCCAAGGAGCGACAGGGAGCTCACGAGCTCTTGTGTTGTGTGCGACCTTCACTTTCAGGAAGCAGACCTTGTGAAAAACTTCGTGCACAACATCCGCGGTGACGTCGTCGTCATACCGCGAGACAAGTGAAGCCTCAAAGATGATGCCGTACCCCGCTTGTTTCCCAACTGTCCGAAATATCTTTCGAAGCCTTTGCGGAAACGCAAAGCTCCTGCCGTGAGGTCACCCCTCCAACCGAAGCGTTGGAATGTTCAGGACGACGCCGAACAAGAAAACACAGCGCCGAACACCTTCGACTATGGGGAGAGAGACGGCTCTGTGTCAGGCAGCGTCAAGCCCAAACTCCATAAGCGCGAAAATGCACGCGACAGCGACGAGCGACGCTATGAGCGACGAAACATGGCGTTCGCGCGACGTGTCGCGGGGTAGTTTTCGCGCGATCGCTCGGTTCTCCAGATTTGGAAACCGTCGCTCATCGCCCGGAAGTGCTGGGCTCAAGCAGCCAATAGCGAAAAACCGGAAAAGACGAAGACTACATAGGTGCACGTGACCCTGCCCGAGTCACGTATGCGCAACAAGAAATAACGCAATGTTTATTACGCATGCGCATATAAAAAATGCTGCAAGGCAATAATAAACACTTTCCGTTCCATTACACAACAATATATCTTATTTTTAAATTGGAAACCGCTCGCTACGCGGTTTTCTTGGTGCGAGTTGACGGCCTCATGCCAGCAACAGTGGAATTCGCTCGCCGAAGCCATCGCGTGAATGAGGTTTGCCTGCGCTAGCGACTGATCGCGCGACGCCGGTCTACGTCGCGTCGCTCGTCGCTGTCGCGTGCATTTTCGCGCTTATGGAGTTTGGGCTTCACACTCGATAGTACCCAGTCCTTGTTCGAGGAGCTATCGACAATGGCGCAAGAGGGACGGCGGCTGCAAGGCTGGTCGACTGAACTCGTTGATTCTGTTGTCGTCCAAGGACGCCCACCAAGAAGAGAAAGTCCGCCTGCATGACATAGTGGAAGCCAAAATGATGGAAATTACAACTGCTTCTGCTGACACATCTGAGCAAGGGCCAAGCGACCACGCCTATTTCAAGGGTGAGGTGGAGGACAGTGTTGTGTACCAACGTTACTAGATACTTTTACTAGTAACCATACTAGATACTTTTACTAGTAACGTTGGTTACTAGTAACGTTACTAGTAACCAACGTTACTAGATACTAAGTATCTAGTAACGTTGGTTGTGTACTACGTGTGTGACTATGTCATACACAAGTTCACCAAGCATGCAACATGCCATCTCTGCATAGAGGACATCAGCTCCGCCACACCTGTGCTTGCTTCTGACAGCTACCTAACCGACTACAGGAGCTTCAAGCAAGGCAGCTTAAAGCATCCAACACAGAAGATGTTGACGTTTTTTAAAATAGTCAGCAAAGTAGTTTCAGCTTGTCTGGACAAGGAGGATCTCTGCGGGGACATATTTTGGAAAGTGTTGGAAGAGTTGGAGAAGCACCACCTTTCTCGACTCGGCTGTGACCAGCACAATGCAGCATTCACGTGCCAACTGCTGAACTTTTTATCATCACCCGCATGCATTTCTTCTCGCGGATGTGAACCGCCGCCTCGGAAGCAGCCAAAAAGTGGCAATAGCGAACAAAAAGCCCGCCTGCTGTGAGCAATCACGCAGCAGCCGAATAAGGTTCTTTGAATGTGTGTACGTTTGTGTTTTAAGGTGTGCTGGCGCGTTACTTTGGCTCTTTGGATATGTTGAAGCACTCCTGCTTGTGCGTAAAATAAATGTTTGTCAGGGCGTGCATACATTTCGTCGGCGTCCGCTGCTTGAGCTAGGAGCTGGGCTGCTGCAAAGGTAGGTACGAGCGCTTTGAGTTGACGTTTTTCTCTTGTCCTCGCCGGTAGTTCGCGCTTTCAAGAAGCAACTTGTTATACAACTGCCACAAGCAAACCACGCGTGCGAGTGGGCGTGATAGTGTGCGAAAATATTCTAGCTGTTACGAACCAACGTGCTGACGCACGTTCGTGATACGCGGTTCTTTCTTTATCGAAAGTTCGCGAGCAATACAAGCCGCCCAGTCTGCGTTTTCCGGTTTTCTGTATAATAGCAGGCAACTTGCCTCAAATAGAAGGAAAATGTTTCCCCTGAATCTAAAATCTAACCTATCTCCCTCATTACCGCAGATGTCCATCAATCTCTGCAAATCTTCCTTGTTGTTGGCCATTAGCACTATATCATCTGCGTACATTAATGCTGGTAGTGCCT